CGGCAAGTGTTGGCCACACTCACTGACTTATTAAAGAGGTCAGGCCTGCCACAGGTGAGTAGCTGCCCTTTATGGATGGGGTTTGTTGAGGGGTCGCTCGTCTGCCCTTTTTTTTGCAGATAGTGTCATAATGTGGGGACATATCTAATAACATTCACCATTCACTTTCAAGGTGAGTGACAGCTGCCCTGTAAAGAGTCCCAAAGACCACCTCCTCCTCGCTGTGGGTACCCAGGTATATAAGGTTTGCCCAGATCCCGATGCCCTCCTGCCCTATCTTATCAAGGACAACCCAATGATGCCTGTTGTCTATAACCACCGGATCAAGGTTGATGTTGATACAGCAGGTCAGATCTCACTGCTGTGTTCAAAAATGTGAATGTGGTTATTTGAATTTAGGTACAAATTTAAATTGTACAGCATCGTTCAGCATGATGCAGCAATGCCTGTTGTTCAGTGTCACACAGTATTAATACATGCACCTCTTTGTAGACACTGAAAACTGTGAAATACAGTTTTTAAAATGCATATTTTATACCTGTAAACGTCCCTGACTGTCATCTTTTATAATTGTGTGTTTCAGATAAGGAAGAGTGGATCAGTACAGGTCTCTACCTCTCTCCTGGTATGAAGACCTACATCGCTATACCACCTCAGATTGTCAAAAAGAATTGGAAGGTAGAGCATATGAAATCAATTGATTTTGAGTTCACTCAGAATGTTGCAACTTTGTTACCTAAAGATAGTGAGGTGCCAGAAACTGAAAAATTCCAGACACAAAACTTGTCTCTGGTGAATAGATACTGTAAGCTGTTTCAGGCCATTTAGTTGTTTAAACACAGAGCAGTCATTGCAATTTTTAGTTATTCCTTTTTACAGTGTTGCACACTTTGTGGTATTGCTTATATTATTATATTTTTGCTTGTATTATTGCTTATAATGCATTTTCCTTTTCTTCTGCAGATTCAGATAGGATGTCAAACTGATTCTCTGCACAAGAACGATGTCCTGAAGAGACCACCGTCTGTCCATGAGCGATTTCCTGTCACCTCAGAGATGATACAAGTTTGGAACCTTTGGGGAGGACTCATCTACCTGGTGGCCCCACCCAAAACACAAGTGAAGGGGTTGGAGGTCACAGCACAGATGGCTGTACCTGCTCCATATTATAAGACTGGTGAGTCTGTGGTAGATTGAACTTTAATATGTGTTTGCACTAGTGTGTACCTTTGTTTGTACTGGTCTAATAGACTATTTTTTAAACAGTCTATAATTTGAAGGGCTGAGGGCAGCATCTCCCAGGTAATAATGCAAAGCAATTTAATAGATCCACTCCTCTCTGTTCTTTTCAGGTGTAACAACTGCAGCTGAGTGGTCGTCGCTGCGCACAGCTCCTTCACCCTGGGCAGAGTTGGAGTTTGAAAACATCATCCTCACCGTACCATCAGATGCTGTTCGGGGTCTGGAGCGCCCTGACAAGGTGGCTGCTCTGTGGGATGAAATCATGAGGGCCATTGCAGATCTGGCTGCCAAACCACACAAATTTCCCCGCAAGGAGCGCTTTGTGGCAGATGTGCAGATTTCTCACGGTAAGTGCATTGTGCCTCATGTTGTACAGTACACACCTGCCTATTATTTTCTTATCATATATAGAGTCTCAAGTAATGCTGGGTGACAGGCAGGGTATGCATGAACCAGTTCTCTGGAATAGAACTAGCAAACAGAAAGTATTCAGTCACCAATCCAAATTCAATTTTTCAATTCAATTCAATCTTATTTATGCAGCGCCAAATCACAACAACAGTCGCCTCAAGGCGCTTTATATTGTAAGCTAGACCCTACAATAATACATACAGAGAAAAACCCAACAATCATATGACCCCCCATAAACAAGCACATTGGCTGTGACCAGTTGTTGTGATAAAAAAAAAAAAAAAAGGATAAGAAAACATGCTGTGAAAGAGAGCCAGCGACTGATAACAAGTAGGATTCAATGTAGAGAGGTCTGTTAACATATAGTGAGTGAAAAGAGTGAGTGGAGGAGAAATATTTAAGGCATCATGGGAATCTCCCAGCACCCTAAAACTATTGCAGCATAACTAAGGGAGGATTCAGGGTCACCTGATCCAGCCCTAAGTATATGCTTTTTTCATCACCACGCACAATGCAAAGCACTCATTCAGAATGGGATGTCACTCAAGTTCATATGGGTGTGAAGGCAGACGTGCAAATACTTTTGGCAAAATAGTGCATATATACAATTACAATGCTGGCTTTACCTGTCTATCAAGTTTGAGAAAATGAAGTAAGCGTGTGTACGCTTAATCCCTGTAAGCTGAAAGCTCAGGCTTTAGAGCTCTAAATGCTCATTTTTTCCTTCTACTTTTGGTTCTGGTTGAAATCCCTGAGGCCATCCACTGGAGTCTATCCCAGCTGTCACACGGCAAAAGGCTGAGTAGACCCTGGACTGTTGCATTGAAAAACCATAATCATGTCATACTTTTGCTTGTTTGTTTGCTTGTTTGTTTGTTTTTACATAAGAATCATCACTGTACTACTGTTCATTTCTCCTTTTTCTGTTCAGGTTTTATGCATGCAGGTTATCCTATCATGGTACAAAAAAACTCAGCTGCTAACCTGGTTGACGTTAAAAAAGGTAAAGGCATGTGGGGCCCCATCCACGAGATGGGACACAACCAACAGAGAGGCTGCTGGGAGTTCCCACCACACACCACAGAGTGTACATGCAACCTGTGGTCAGTGTATGTGCATGAAGAGGTGCTGGGCATCAAGAGGGAGAAGGTGGAGTAAATCACATGCATCTTTCAGACCAATGGCCAGAAAAGCTTTTGTTGAATTGTGATGCTTTTCATATCAATCAGTTTTAGAAAGCATAACTCTTTTTTTGATATCCTATGAGGACAGAAGACTTAACACTGTTTTCCTTAGAGTAAAATGCTTAACAGTCACCTCATTACATACTATTCAATGCAGGCTCATGGAGCTATGACTGCAGCAAAACGACAAAGTCGAGCCAAGGATTACGTCGCAGGAGGCAGGAAACTTGAGAGCTGGAGCATGTGGGTGGCTCTGGAAACATATATGCAGGTGAGAGAATTCTACTCTGTAGAGAAACTGTCCTTTGTCCACACACCTGCTTTCACTGGAAAAAAATGATTGCATGTAAAACTGAAAGCAGAGTGTGAAACAAGGCACGTTCCAGAAACTGTAAGATGATACCTTTTAAATCAAGTCACTATCAAGAAAGTGTGGAGACAGAATTAAAACAGTATCTTAACAAACAGAAATAAGCCTGACACAAACACTTTATTAGACATAACATGATTATCAGCATTATGATTTTTGTCTCCTCATCTGCAGCTCCAGGAAAGGTTTGGCTGGGATGCCTTTAAGAAGGTGTTTACTGCGTATCATCACATGAAAGACATCCCCAAGGACAAGAAAAGAAAAATGAATCTGTATGCTGAGACCTTCTCCCAGACTGTGGGGATGGACCTGACTGGCTTCTTTAAGGCCTGGGGCTGGCCAATAGAAACAGCCACTGAAGGGAAGCTCTCCCAGCTGCCTTCCTGGAACGATCACCCCATGACCCAGTATGACTAAACCTCAAACCACTGCAGTGTGCAGAGAAATGTCTTCAACCAATATCTTAATTTGAAGTGAATGATGAGCAACACGGTGAACTGATTTGGTGTCTGGTGTTCTGTTTCAACAACATTTATTAGAGTATCTGAATAGAGAAACAAATCCTGTACATAGCTTGTATTCACTACAGCCTGTACATACTTATAGTTATAGAATATTCACAACATACTTCATACCGTGTACATTATAACACACCATAATAGACCCATTTCTGTAATATACTTACATATCTATATTATTGCTAATATATATTGTAATATATCTATATCACTAAAGCACTTCTGGATGGATGCAAACTGCACTTCGTTGCCCTGTACCTGTGCATGTGCAATGACAATAAAGTTGAATTCTATTCTAATTCTATTCTATTCTAAATGATGTGGTGAGGTTGTAGTTATTGAATTCAGTTTGAATTTTTTTTTCCCTTATGTACCTGTACGGGGTAGGTACAGTAGGCTTTCACTTACTGCCAGGTAGACTAGACATTCGATGATAACAAGAGTGGATCTTTGCCTTTGTTTTGTACAGGGCTGAAATCATAGCAAGACATTGCACTACTATAACATACAACGCAATACACTTGCCTTACACTGTGCTCTACTGAATACGTTCACTGCAACCCTTTCCTTAAAAAATAGTAGTCTTTTATGAGGACACAGGATTTTTATAAGGACACTTATATTATTAGAAATGTGGATTTTCTTTATGTGAATAAGCATAATATTGAAACTCTCATTTGCTCTGCTGCTGTATTTTCATGTTTGCATTATGTTGGGTTGCAATAAAGAGGTCAGACTTTATAATAAAAGAACTTTAGTCTTTAGTTTCACTACACTGATATCTGAAACAGCTTCAATAATAATCCACTTTATCTTTTTCCATTAAGAGAGAGAAAAAAAGTGAAAGACTTCATCTCATTCTGAAATACTGTTATATTGTAGCTGCATCAATATGGTGATTCCCAAACAGCCATTAGCTGAATACTGCATATCTCAACATGGTCTGCTGTTTGTCCTTACAAATATTTTGAGGACCCCCCATAAGCATACCCTCTTGGGACCTGTGTGAGGCCAGATTATGATTATGTATTTACAGTCTAGGTTTATTTTTTTTCTAAAATATTCAGCAATATTATCCAACATTAATCACGTGCAGAGTTGGGAGTCAGCATTGAAATCACTTGATGTGCGATGTGCGATAGTTTGTTAATATAGCAAAACTTGTGCTGGGCTGCGCAGTCAGATGGTGAAAAACTGCAGGATAAAGAAAACTTTATCCCGTTGGCTTTCTGAGTCACTCGGCACCCGTACCGTGTTATCTGAAAGAAAAGCGCAACAACATTCTAAACTTCTGCTGACTGGACCACATTTCCATCTCATTTTTGGACTCTGTCTTTGTTGACACGTGTAATATAACAACAATGTGTATTTATAATACTCTCACTGGATGTAATAAGACGTCGTTATTTGCTACTCACCGAAGGAGTTAAATATTTAACACATCCGCATTGGTGAGTCACTATTTTGGTTTTCAGGTCCTGTAATGGGCGAGGCAGGGAGAAAAAGTTGATACGGAAAGAAGACAAAGTAACACATTTTCCTGGTTACATTTTGAGCTAAAAGCTCATCTGAAGACTAATTCAGTGTGGCAAAATAGTGAGCACTATTTATTATCCAAACATTTAGTCTAAAGCCTAACGATGAACGGATAAAGAGTAATCACGCTATGCTATCCCGCTATGGTAATGCTGAAAGATGCAATAATTTGATATGGTGCAAAACACACTGAATTAAAAACACCACATTCTTCTGTTTATTTTACCTGCAGAAAGTTCTGCGCTGTGCCCTTTAGCGTTCACAACTAGTTACTAAAGATGGCAGGATGAGCAGGTTTCTCTGTGGGCTTCATACTCGTTTAGGGTGTATCAGTAATTACAACATTCACACAATGGGAATGTTGACATACTGCTGTCATTTTCCATGCTTCTGTTTATTTTTTTGCTGTGCTCAGTAGCCCGTCTGTGGGCCGTCCTCATCGTAACCTACCACTCATGATCTCCTCAACTCCTCAAATAGGCACTCACTTTCACATTCTTTATTCTGTCAGGTAGAGCTCTTTGTGTCACCTGCTTTGAAAAACTCTTGAACTGCACCGGAAAGTCATCTTGCAGGTAAAAATATTATTAAATAAAAGAATGCATTTATTTTTTTTAAGTTGTTTAGTAGTAACGAGATATGTAAAATCTGGGTCTTGGTTGTACCAAGTGGAAAGCAGCTATTTAACTTTTTATCTCTGAATCAGCTTTATTTAGTGTAATGTTTTGTCATGACTTATGAGGCATTAGTCAGCAGTCATACTTTCATTTTATTTATTTATTTATTTTTGTTATCTTATTCACACTACACCGTGGATATGATTCTTGTTTTTGCATATATTACCTACTTTAACTGCTGTGTGAGTGCAAATTTTTGTTTCACCTCAAGTGAATACGTGTGCTGGAATAATAATAAAAAACAATGAATTTTTTTCTGCCCTATTTCCACAGGTCACCTTGGCATACATTGATGCAGGAAATACTGTGAAATCAAATCTGTTAAGACAACTTGCCCTCGACATTCAGTCTTCAGAGTAAAAATCCTCTACACTATGTCATCTAACCAGTTGTTCAAAAGCCAACATGAACAGGCCTACATGTCCCTGATGAGAGGCATGAAGGAGCTGGACCTACAGGGACCCTGTGTTCCCAGTGACCTGTTGCTGATTGGAGACCATGCCTTTCCTTTAGCAATGAACAGCCGAGGTCAGGTCCTGATGGCTGCCTCTCTGTACAGCAGTGGAAGGATTGTGGTCCTGGGTCATGAGGGCTACTTGACAGCCTTTCCTGCTCTGGTAGAAAATGCTCTGACCTGGCTGAGAGGTGATGGCTCTGATAACCTCTCAGTAGGGGTGCACAGAAGTGTATGTGCAGTTGCTAATAACCTCCAAAAATCCAGCTTCCAAGTAGAAGTTGTGGGAGCTTTCAGTGACAAACAGGGAGTTGGTGTTTATGTGACCGATGCCTACAGTGTGGGCTCAGACCCAGTGGAGCTGGTGGCCTTTCTGAAAGCTGGAGGAGGGGTGCTGATAGCTGGGCAGGCGTGGAGTTGGGCTGCAGATCACCCCAAAGAGAACGCACTGCATCAGTTTGATGGGAATAAAGTGTCGGGAGTGGCAGGAATCTACTTCACTGAGCGTTGTGGTGAAGTGGAGAACCTGCCTGTCTACCCTCAGATCCCGTCCTCCTGGATGTCTGTGGTGTGAGTGTTTAATGTAGTTCTGTTTTGTTGTTATTGTTACTGTTAGTTTAAACCCACAAGTTAACTATAACATGAAATAAATTGCAAACTACTATAGATTGCATATAGAGTTTTAAAAAAATATTATTATTATATTTAATGTAAACTTTTACATAATTTTACATGGATTTATCAGTTTTGACATTTTCTGCCTAAGCAATAAAACAAAGTATCTATTGATGTCAAACTCAGCACCTGTGAATTTACAAAAGGACTGTATTTTTACAGGACCGTGTTTATAATAACAGTAGGAAAATCTATTTTATGTTTCATATTTATTAATTTAATATCAGAATACTTTATTGATCCCTAGGGGAAATTATTTTGGTTACAGTGCTCTGGTACAAACAGTAACAAAGACAGACAATACACTACAGTAAGAAAATAGCACAATATATACAAAATATACATACATAGATATATATATAGATATATATATAGATATATTGATAAATATCTGAATAAGAAAGAAGAGCATGTGCAAAAAGGGTGTAGCTACTGCAGTATACAGTGTGTTAAGTGGATGAGTTGTACAGGGAGATGGCAACAGGCAGGAATGTATTCCTGTGTTGTTCAGTGGTGCTTTTTTACATTCTGAAAATGTAAAAATTAAACTTGCTTGTATGTTGGTTAATTGTTTTCTTAACATGCAAAAACAGATAAAAAAAATGCAATTTACACAATTATTCTTAAGTTTGTCTCTCATTCCTATCATGACTCTTCCACCTTTCAGCTTGGGTAAGGATTTTGAAGACGACTTGCAGTTCTTACTCCAGGGGGTTTCAGAGTTCCAGCTCCCGTCTAATTTAACTGCTTCGGAGGTTTTAGTCCATGGACCGCTAGCATTTCCCATCGCGACCACAGATGATGGACGGGCGTTCCTGGCAGGAGGCTACTATGGACAGGGACGAGTGATTGTGGCTACACATGAAGGATTTCTGGGACTTGAGGTAAATGTGAGAGTTGGTCTTCCTTTCCAAGCACTCATAGGTCAGAATCAGCACGTGATTCAGACCTATGAATGAACAGGTTTCCTTTGATTTTACAAGTTTGATTTGCATCAGAAGGTTTTTATGTGTGTCACTGTAATGAATAGTTTCTTTGTTAACTGATTGCCAAGACTTGGGTGAATAATTTAATTTAAAACAAAGCTATTCTTATTGCCTAGGATGGATAGAGGGATGGAGGTTAAAGTTTAGGTTAGGGTTGGGTTCTCCACTGATGATGACTCAGGCCTCAGAGGGTTAAAAATGTGAGTAGTAGTAGTTTGTGCAACTCGGAATGGATGTATGACTGTTTTTATTGTGTTTCTCCCTGACTTTGAGCAAACATTGCAGATAACATAAATTGTGTATTGTGATAGGGTTAGAGTTAGGAGTCAGTGGTAAGCAGACCTATAATGGTTAAAAAGGAGATGTTTCTGCTGTTTTGATGCAATTTTTATACATCTTATGTACACATGACTGCATCTGTTCCTGATTTCCTTCTATTCTTTTAGAGTATGGCTCCATTTTGGCAAAATGCCATTCACTGGTTGGATGAAGGCCGCAGAGGGGTTGTTGGTGTCATGAATATAGATGCTGCAATCAATATTCTCAGCAAGTCAGGGCTGAAGTGTGAGAAGACAAAATTCAGGAAAGACCTCAGCGTGTTTGTGTGTAAAGCGTATATCACTGAGCATTTGGAGGAAATCAAAAACTTTGTGGCAGAGGGAGGAGGCCTGCTGATTGGAGGACATGCCTGGTACTGGGCACAGACACATAGTGGGCAAAATCCACTTACAGAATTCTCAGGTATGAAAGTGCACGACCAATGCATCTGATTAGTGTGACATCTCCAACAATACACCAGAGTATTTTAAGTCAGATTTGTTTTAATGTCTTTCAGGAAACAAGATCTTAAATCAAATGGGATTGAGCCTGTTGGGCGCAACAATCGGAGGAGGAACATACAAAGCTCTCGTACCCACCCAGGCTATTAAAGACAGCTACCACTTCCGCCACCTTCTATACCGCTTTGCTGCCCATGTGACTGCAGGTGAAAACCTTAGCCAGCATGAGGAGAGATATCTGAAAAGGCTGGGCAACGACTGCAATGCCTACTTGCAGATGAAAGCCCATGACTCCTCCCACTACCGGCAAGTGTTGGCCACACTCACTGACTTATTAAAGAGGTCAGGCCTGCCACAGGTGAGTAGACAAAAATAATATGAACACCTTTTAAAATAACAAAATTAAACAAAGCTATGCTAGCTGATGTGGTTTGTGACCATTATGTGTGCCAAAACATTACAGTGCATGTCACAGCTATTAGTTGGTATATTACAGTTATCAACAAGTAATATGTGTCTCAAAAATGTGTTTTAAAAAAGAAACAACAACACCAATGTGTTTTAAATATGATTGACCACTGCTTTTTATGGATGGGGTGTGGTGGAGGTGGAGACTAGTTGCCTTTGTTTCTGCAGATAGTGTCATAATATGGGGACATATATAATGAGATTGACTATTCACTTTCAAGGTGAGTGACAGCTGCCCTGTAAAGAGTCCCAAAGACCACCTCCTCCTCGCTGTGGGTACCCAGGTATACAAGGTTTGCCCAGATCCCGATGCCCTCCTGCCCTACCTCATCAAGGACAACCCAATGATGCCTGTTGTCTATAACCACCGGATCAAGGTTGATGTTGATACAGCAGGTCAGATCTCACTGCTAAAAATGTGTTAATATATGCAGCTCATTGCAAACACTGGAAACTGTGAAATACAGTTTTTAAAATGCATATTTTATACCTGTAAACGTCCCTGATTGTGATCTTTTATAATTGTGTGTTTCAGATAGGGAAGAGTGGATCAGTACAGGTCTCTACCTCTCTCCTGGTATGAAGACCTACATCGCTATACCACCTCAGATTGTCAACAAGGATTGGAAGGTACAGCATATGAAGTCAATTGATTTTGAGTTCCACCCCATATAAGTCTCTGTCTCCAGTAGTGACAGAGACTCACCACAAGTACAGCTCATGTCCACATGGCAAGGTGCCAGAACCTGAATTTTTTTTTGCGGTGAATAGATACTGTAAGTTGTTTCAGGTCATTTAGGTGTCTAAACACAGAGGAGTCCTTGCAATTTTTAGACATTCCTTTTTACAGTGTTCAATACTTTAGCATATAGAGATTGCTTACAGTGCATTTTTCTTTTCTTCTGCAGATTCAGATAGGATGTCAAACTGATTCACTGCACCACCATGAGGAGCTGAAGAGACCACCGTCTGTCCATGAGCGATTTCCTGTCACATCAGAGATGATACAGGTTTGGAACCTTTGGGGAGGGCTCATCTTCCTTGTGGCCCCACCCAAAACACAAGTGAAGGTGTTGGAAGTCATAGTGCAGATGGCTGTACCTGCTCCATACTATAAGTCTGGTGAGTCTGTGGTGGATTTGACTTTGTTAACTTTTTTTGTACTGGTCTAATAGACTATTCTCAAACAGTTTATAAGGCGATTTAAGGGGCTGAGGGCAGCATCTCCCTGGTTCTAATCAAATATGAAGTGTTAGGAGTGTTAGAAATGTTCAGTAAAGTAAAGTAAATATCCAACAGTTTAACGTCTGATACAATGAATTAGGCTTCCCTAACTGTTAATATTTCAAGTTGGTGTTAGCTAGCCCTTGATTCTGTTTTTATGTGTTGGAGCCTGAAGCATTTTAATAAATTCACTCCTCTCTTTGTTCTTTTCAGATGTAACAACTGCAGCTCAGTGGTCGTTGCTGCGCACAGCTCCTTCACCCTGGGCAGAGTTGGAGTTTGAAAACATCATTCTCACCGTACCGTCAGATGCTGTTCGGGGTCTGGAGCGCCCTGACGAGCTAGCCGCTCTGTGGGATGAAATCATGAGGGCCATTGCAGATCTGGCTGCCAAACCACACAAATTTCCCCGCAAGGAGCGCTTTGTGACAGATGTGCAGATTTCTGCTGGTAAGTGCATTTTGCCTCATGTTGTATATACACCTGCCTTTAACTGGCTTGTCATATATAGAGTCTCAAGTAATGCTGGGTGACAGGCAGGGTATGCATGGTCCAGTTCTCTGAACTAGCAAACAGAAAGTATTTAGTCACCAATACAAATCATTGGGGTAAGGTGTTCCAATCACTTCCATGACACAGGTGTATAAAATCAAGCTCCAAAGCATGCAGACTGCTTCTATGAACATTTGTAAAAGAATTGGTCGCTCTCAGGAGCTCAGGGAATTCCAGTGTGGTAATGTGATAGGATACCACCTCAGCATGAAGTCCAGTCATGATATTTCCTTGCTACTAAACATAGTGAGTAGTGGAAGGGACTGGGAACAACAGCAACTCAGCCACAAGGAGGCAGGCTAAGTAAAATCACAAAGCAGGGTCATCGGATTGGGAAGTATATAGCGTGCAGAGGTTGCCAACTTTCTGCAGACCTGCAAACTTCATTTGGCCTTCAGATTAGCTCAAGAACAGTGCACAGAGAGCTTCATGGAAAAGGTTTCCATGCCTGAGCACCTGATTCCAAACTTTACACCACGAGGGACAGTGCAAAGCATATAAACCTTTGCATTTAATGCTTTGAACTAGTGCAAAGCATTGTGCTTTGGTGATGTACAGAATGCTGCTACTGGACTCTTTGTATCTGACCACACAAATGTGCTTCTGGATGGTCAAAAATTCCCATAAACACACTCTTAAATGTTGTGGAAAACCTTCCCAGAAGAGCTGAAGCTGTTATATCTGCACATGGTGGGCTGACATCATATTAAACCCTATGGATTCAGAATGGGATGTCTCCCAAATTTGTGTGGGTGTGAAAGTGGACGAACAAATACTTTTGGCAAAATAGTGCATATATACAGTAACAATGCTGGCTTCAGCTGTCTAACAAGTTTCAGAAAATGAGGTGTGTGCACACTTAATCCCTATAAGCTGAAAGCTCAGGCTTTAGAGCTCTAAATGCTTATTCATCAGACAGTTTTTCCTTCTACTTTTGGCTCTGTTTGAAATCCCTGAGGGCGTGTATCCCCAGCTTAGCTTCTGAGTGCAGAAGCTCTACCCATTTGTTATTGAAGTCTTGTGTTTATAAAGAACTGCCAATCAGAGAAACTTGTTTAAACGTCTATCCATCCACTGGCGTCTATCTCAGCTGTGACAGGGCAAAAGGTTGAGCAGACCTTGGACAGGTCGCAAGACCACTGCAGGGTTACCACAGAGACAGATGAATATTTACACTTAACATGACTAACTTTTACCGAAGAACCATAATCATATCATGCTTTTGGTTGTTTGTTTGTTAATTGTTTATTTTTTTTAAATAAAAGCTATCAAATCTATAAAATCTAAAATCTATAAAAAATAAAGAATCATCACTATACCACTGTTCATTTCTCTTTTTCTGTTCAGGCTGGATGCATGCAGGTTATCCTATCATGGCACACAAAGTCTCAGCTGCTGAGCTGGTCGGTGTTAAAAAAGGTAAAGAAATGTGGGGCCCCATCCACGAGCTGGGACACAACCAACAGAGAGGCTGCTGGGAGTTCCCACCAAACACCACAGAGTGTACATGCAACCTGTGGTCAGTGTATGTGCATGAAGAGGTGCTGGGTCTCCACAGAGGACAGGTAGAGTAAATCACATGTGTCTATTTTGATATCCCATGATAACTGATGATTGAACTCAGTTTTTACTAAAAGTAAAATATTTTACAATCATCTCATTCCATGTTTTTAATGCAGGCTCATGGAGCTATGACTGCAGAAAATCGACAAAGTCGAGCCAAGGATTACGTCGCAGGAGGCAGGAAACCAGAGAGCTGGAGCATGTGGGTGGCTCTGGAAACATATATGCAGGTGAGAGAATTCTACTCTGTAGAGAAACTGTCCTTTGTCCACACACCTGCTTTCACTGGAAAAAAATGATTGCATGTAAAACTGAAAGCAGAGTGTGAAACAAGGCACGTTCCAGAAACTGTAAGATGATACCTTTTAAATCAAGTCACTATCAAGAAAGTGTGGAGACAGAATTAAAACAGTATCTTAACAAACAGAAATAAGCCTGACACAAACACTTTATTAGACATAACATGATTATCAGCATTATGATTTTTGTCTCCTCATCTGCAGCTCCAGGAAAGGTTTGGCTGGGATGCCTTTAAGAAGGTGTTTACTGCGTATCATCACATGAAAGACATCCCCAAGGACAACAAAGGAAAGATGAACCTGTATGCTGAGACTTTCTCCCAGACTGTGGGGATGGACCTGACTGGCTTCTTTAAGGCCTGGGGCTGGCCAATAGAAACAGCCACTGAAGGGAAGCTCTCCCAGCTGCCTTCCTGGAACGATCACCCCATGACCCAGTATGACTAAACCTCAAACCACTGCAGTGTGCAGAGAAATGGTTTCAACCAATATCTTAATTTGAAGTGAATGATGAGCAACACGGTGAACTGATTTGGTGTCTGGTGTTCTGTTTTAACAACATTTATTAGAGTATCTGAATAGAGAAACAGAAATGGTGGACTGAGGTTGTAGGTATCGAATCTTTCCCTTTATTTTGTACAAAGCCAAATAATTTTGTTCCCTGCAGAAAATGCAACTTGATGTTTGTGACTTGTGAAAACTGGAAGACATTACATTACTAAACAGAGATTGTTTCTGAAGATGAAAATGTTCTTGCATGTTTGCATATTTATTACTTACTTGCATTTCTTTACTTGCATCCAAAACTGCCATGGTTTTCTTCCACACATAAACGCACACAGTGACATATAGGATGCTATTGCAGAGCCAGCCCTTAAAACTAGATGAATGAGTGCGTAATAAAGCCTGGGTGTGTCGCTTGTCTGAGTTTTAAAAACAGATGCAGAATGTTGACTAACAGGTTTTGAAGCCTTCTCTGTTCACTGACACCTCGTCTTTCACTTAATTCCATCAGCCTGAGTCAGTCGGTTGCCCTGACTAAAGTCACTCCTCTAATTGTCTTTGTCTTTTTCACTCAAGTAGCCCCTCCTGTTCTTATTTGTATACACTCACTTGCTGTTGTTGCAAAGTTTTCACCAGTCGTTCTAAACAAACCACAGATTCAGCCAACCCTATAGGCTGAGGAAGGCTGTTTCAGCTACAACATCAAAATTTGATGGCCTCTGATTATAACATAAGAGCTTGAAAATAAGGCTTGAAGAGCCAACAGCAGTAGCAGTATAATGTCTGGGAATCTCTGCTATATACCCGGGACCCTGGCCATGTAGGACTTTGTTATTAAGATTATTAAGACCCTCGATCAGTCCAAGTAACTGACGGGCCACAGCTTTCTCTCAAATGGAAGGGATGGAGACAGGACAAAGGTGACACCCTGGTTGTGTCTTTGCCGTGTAATTTGTATTTTACTGCGTGCATTCAGCCTTTATGCACTTCTTTCTATGGTGACATATAATCATTGATCCAAGGGAAAACATTGATGGCTCAAGGTAATCCAGATTTTAAAGGGGCTACACTATCAAGAAATGATCAACACAGATCATTAAATCATTCATGTAAATCACTGAAAACCCAGGTGTTCAAATGTAAAAATAGGAGAACAGAGCTGCTGAATTGTCATTAACAATGCCAGACTAAGTCTGCTATGGGAACACAAAATTAGTGAAGTTATATTTTGACAGTAAATCAGACGTACAAAGGTTGTTTAAGGACAGGCCACAAGTAGAAACATACTCCAGGGTGTGCTCACCAATAAGAACGGGACTATTAAGAATATTACAACCAGAGGAAAGATCTAAGAAAGAAGATGTGAAAGTTAAAGTCACCAACCATAATGAACTGCTCAAATTAAAGAACAACAGATGAAAACACATTTGAGAGTTTATTTAGGAATTCAGAAGGAAATTTAGGAGGATGATAGAAAACAAGGAGACTGGATTCTTACACAAAGTATTTTGAATGAATTGAAAAAAGAAGAAGCGAGAAGTAAATGGAACACAATTTAAGTTGTTCCTGTAAACCCTTCTGTTGAATGAAAAAATTAAGAAGGGAGTAGAAATTTGATGAAAATGTTACAGTCTCCTTCTGTGTGTTATAATTACAGAGTTTGGTTAACCTGATCAGATTTTGAGGTCAGTGACTTATCATTTTCTCTTAAATTGTGATCACTAAGTAATTTGGATAATAAGTACAACGTAGCATAAGATAGGTTACAGGGGGGTGATAGTGTTGTGGACATAGGATAGCAACACAGTGGACTTAGTTTGTGAGGCCTGCAGAGAAAGCTTGTTATGGAACGGCTGTGTGCAGGCAGGGAAAGGACCCAAAGTGCAGATGCTCGGAGACACAATGTAAACTCAAAACAGTTTTAATGCTGAACTCAAAAGGGTAACAAAACTGAGAATACACAATACTTAAATACACAGAGGAAGCAATCAGGGAATGGGTAACAGGAGGGAAACACCGCTGGGGCAAATCAGGCCTAACGAAACAGGAGAAGCAAAACCAGACACATTAACATAAGACAAGGACCTTCAAAACAGGAAACATAACACAGACTGAACATACAGACACAGACTCACAGGCAGGCACTACAACAGAGAGAACAGAGACGTGGGACCAGGACAGACGCTGACTGGACACGGGGATACAGCAGACAGGGGAGACAGCAACTAAGGATTACACAGAGACCTAAACCATAAGAAAGAACTCTAACAAAGAAACCAAAGACTAGAAAAGATAAATAATATAATAAACTCAAAAATCCTGGGTCAACGACCCAGGCATCCTAACAAAGCTGGCAGATAAAACAGAACTACTCATGGCTGAGAAGGGGAAGAAGGCTCCAGAGGCAGTCACGTGTAGCAAAATGGACAATATACAGCATGTCAACTGCTAGAAATGAGCCAACTAACCAGTTGGGCTGGTTTTCATCTGTCCTAAAAAGGGAACAACAGATTAAAATTGCCAATAAAACCTATGTTTATTCTGAAGCCAGGTGTTGAGGCTGAGGAGCCTGCTAAAATGCCCCACACTGTTTTAAGAGGTTAAAAAGCTCTTCACAGTCAGCTCAGACTGCAGACAAGCTTACCCTGATCCTCATTTCCCTAAGGTGTTAGGTTACTGTGAGGCAGGGAAGGAAGGACAGGGTGTGGTGGAAGGGAGTAACCTTGAAAGGGGCAAATCCATGACAACCATGACATCATCTATGCATGTTTCTGTGTTGCCTTCTTAAAGAGATGGAGGGAATTTGGCTTGTTTGTCCAGCGTGATGGAACATTTAGGACCATTCACTTCTCAGTGCAGGTTATTTTTTGTCCTGGCAAACAGAATTTACCTGTGTACAGTAGATCTGCCTCATGCTTAGATTTACATGTTGCTCCGAGTCAGGAAATCTTAGTGGTTGAATAGTAGAATATATAGTTTCTTACTTCGACTGTGCCAGTCAGAGTGTGGAGTGTTTGTTGCAGTTTGACACAAACTGAATCTTAAATATGTACAATTTAAGATTCAAAAAGTTACCTTAGTATCAGACTTAGACTCAGTTTACAATACACAAATGCAGCTTTCATTTCTGAAATGTGGTGGTTGCTGCACTGCCTTCAGCGTTGGCATTTGAAAACATCATGTCAATTCTCCCAGCTGGAGCAAGCCCTCACTGAGGAAGTGAGGGCTTCCTCAGTGACACCAGGATATACATGGTGTCACAAACACGCATGTTTGTGGTCAGAATTGCAACATGGTGAGTGTATTGTGTGAGTTTTTTCTGTTGTGTTCGTATCATTCACACTAGTTAACTTCAAGCGACATGATGAGCAGGTTTTGCTTAATCCTCTTTTAGGGTGTGTATTCAGCCACAGTGAAACATCATTCCTATTCTGAGAAAGCTTATCCACTGCTGATATTTTTCTATGAATCTGATGTTTAATTTAGCTCTGGCCATTTGTTTGTCCATGGGTTTGTCATCACAGTAAACCCTCCCCTTATTATTAGGGCACCTGAAGTAGGCACTCCTCCTATTCCTGCTCTCATTTGACAGAACAAGGACAACTACAGGACAACTTCTACATAAGAAGAGTTGAACCTCAGGGGCTAAGATAACTTCTCCTGATATCTTGCTCTCTGCCTTCTTCGGCACCTTCTTCTTTGTCTTCAAATTACAAATCCTACAGGCCATGTCCAACCAGTCCTTCCAAAACCAACATGAAGAGGCCTACGCCTCCCTGATGAGAGGCCTGAAGGAGCTGGACCTACAGGGATCCTATGTTCCCACTGACCTGTTGCTGATCGGAGACCATGCTTTTCCTTTAGCAATGAACAGCCGAGGTCAGGTGCTGATGGCTGCCTCTCTGTACGGCAGTGGAAGGATTGTGGTCCTGGGTCATGAGGGCTACTTGACAGCCTTTCCTGCTCTGGTAGAAAATGCTCTGACCTGGCTGAGAGGTGATGGCTCTGATAACCTCTCTGTAAGGGTGCACAGAAATGTCAGTGCAGTTGCTAATAACCTTCAAAAATCCAGCTTCCAAGTAGAAGTTGTGGGAGCTTTCAGTGACAACCTGGGAGTTGGTGTTTATGTGACCGATGCCTACAGTGTGGGCTCAGACTCAATGGAGCTGGTGACGTTTCTGAAAGCTGGAGGAGGGGTGCTGATAGCTGGACAAGCGTGGAGTTGGGCTGCAGATCACCCCAAAGAGAACGCACTGCATCAGTTTGATGGGAATAAAGTGTCGGGAGTGGCAGGAATCTACTTTTCTAAGAACTGTGGTGAGGCGGAGAACTTGCCTGTCTACCCTCAGATCCCGTCCTCCTGGATGTCTGTGGTGTGAGTGATTCTATTGGTTCTGCTTTACTGCACATAAACAAAGATTACAATTTTATCAAAAGTAAACAGCTTATCTGTCACTGAAGCAAACAGATTTTTTTTCTGTTAGTTGTTAAATATATTTTATTCTATATCCATTTACCCATTTCTAGAGTGTAAAAAATTTAAATGCAAACAAAATACATTCCATAGACTGTCTTTCCTTCTTAAAATGTCTTTCCCCTTTTATTCTTCCCTCTTTCAAATGCAGCATAGGTAAGGATTTTGAGGATGACTTAGAGTTCTTACTCCAGGGAATTTCAGAGTTCGAGCTCCCGCAGGGGTCAACTGCTTCTGAGGTTCTAGTCCATGGACCGCTAGCTTTTCCCATCGGTACTACACATGATGGACGGGCATTCCTCGCAGGAGCCTATTATGGACAGGGACGAGTCATTTTGATTTCACATGAAGGATTTCTGGGACTTGAGGTAAAGTTGACACCTTGAACTAGAATTTAAATTAAAGCTTTTTTCATGAACATATAACAGGAATTTGCTCCTATTGTACACGAATGCACTATTTTATAGATAGCATGTTTCAGCTTAGACAGTAAATATGCTTCCTTTCAACATTTATTTCGGTGTACATTACATTTGTCTACATTAGCAGTTCCCTACGGATTACCCTAGTGTTTGGAAGTAAAAAATAAATTTACATTTAAAAAATGTAAATATAGTTACCTTTAAGTAAAACATTTCAAATGCCCTAAAATTCACATATCCTGATAGGGTTAGGAGTTAACAGGAAGTAGTTCTCAAAGAGTTAAATATTTCTGCTAATCTCCCAAACCCTTTATATATCAGATAATCTGGAGCGATCGTGGC